CTCGGCCTTCCAGTAGGTCTGTACGTAAGTAAACTGCGTGACACTATTTATTTAGCGCGAACTTGTGCCCGTCCACTTAATATACAGAAGTTGTCCTTAGCTTTCTATTACAAACCTCGTTCATTTTTTTCTTCTTGCGTTTCGCTATGTGCCACTCCTTCAAAGAAGCACCAGTCTTCTTTTCATTTATTTATTTATTTATATTTACAAAAACTGCTTCTTGCACAGCAACATATTGCAGGAGCGAGTGCACAAATACCGTATGATTACACATAACGAATATGCCCATTGAATGAACAGAAGATCAGGAAAGTATACAATACCGATCAGTGAATAAAGTTTGGAAATTGTTCAATCAATTTATCGTTTGGCAGATCGCGCAGGAAGCCCGGAAGACCAATCCCAATATCAATAGTGTGAGGGGAAAATTAGAAAACCTAAAGAAATCAATGCATGACTACGAAGTAGCTATGGTAATGTGGTGACTTCTCCTTGTCATTAGAGAAGGGCTAGTAAAGGTAATTGGTGAATCTATACGTTTCTCCATGGGCGATCACAGGTAACAGGACAAAACGGTCACTAGTGCGTCAGAGAGCCAAACTTTTTATTTGTAACTAAGCAGTATATAATGTAGGTAAAAAATCGCGATCGTAACGCTTTCGTATAAACCTGAAGGTCTTTGTCTAAATATACTCAAGCATATAATATTTGCATGATGGGGGGCCCATACGACATATGCATACTCCAGAAGTGGCCTTACTAGAGATTTGTATGATACTAGTTCACATTCTCTAGCTGCATCTCGAAGGTTTCTTTTTAGGTAACCAAGCTTTCTAAACGGATTTTTTGATTCTGCTACTATGCACTATCTTTAACGCTGTTTAACGGCCGTTACTATCCACCGGTTTCCAGCAGCACTGACTGGGAGGGGGCCATAAAGATCGACGCCTACAACTTCGAAAAGCGTGGCTGGGCACGGAAGAGGCTGTAGTGTACCGGCGGGAGCAGATGTTGGTAGTTTTCTACATTGGCAGGTAGTGCAGAACTCGACGTACCGAGCTACACTAGTGGTAAAGCCTGGCCAATAAAACCGACTTCGAAGGCGATCGTAGGTTTTATGGTAACCAAGGTGACCAGCAGTCGGATGGTCATGAAGCGCTCTGAGGACTTCGGACCGAAGCGATCTGGGTAGAACGGAAACCCAACGCTGACCGTCAGGATGGTAAATTTTGCGTTACAGCACCGAGTTGTCCAGCTTAAATTGTGATTGTTGGCGACGGAGCCTAGTATTAGGTGTACGGTAACTGCCAGTGAGGTAGCCTATAATACGTCGACAGTATGGGTCAGCCAACTGTCGAGAAGGAAAATCGTGGGGGTCGTCCGAAGGCAGCTGGTCCATAGAGGCGAGAGAGGAAACCGCCGTAGACAAGGACTCCGAGGGCGTGTTGTTCAAATTGATTGCGGGAACCCCGAGTGGAGTCGCTGGTAGTGGGCATCGAGAAAGAGCATCGGCGTCACTATGCTTCCTGCCACACTTGTATACGATCTCGAAATCATATTCTTGGAGGCGTAAAATCCAGCGTCCGAGGTGTCCCGACAAGTTCTTGAATAGTTTGAATGTGAGAATGTTCTTTCAAGTCTGAAATGAAAATACCACCGGGGTATTTGAAAGTGTCTACACTTGCCAGCTTGTGGTTACAACTAAAATGTGAAAAATTTGATGGGTGCTTTTTCATTTAGAAATTCATTGAGACGTTTTTTTTTAAGTTCAGCGACCTCTGTCACTTGTTACTCCACTCGCAAAAATTGTCGAAAATTTTAACTGCAACTGATCGTGAGTGCCTGCTACATTGGAATAGACGACACAGTCATCGGCATAAAGGCTAAAATTCAACAGAAGTCGAAGAAGGTACTTTAACGACGTCGCTTATATAGATAATGAAAAGTAATGGACTACCGATTTTTTTGGCACACTGGACATGACATTGACCTCAGATGAGTGAGCACAATTGCGTGCAACGTGTTGTGATCTTGAGCCCAGATAGACCTGTATCCACTCTCTAAGTTCATTGCCATAAAAAAGTTGCTTAAGTTTAATGAGAATCTTATTATGACATTACGAATGAAAAGCTTTCTTGTAGCCAATCCAGATGGCATCAAGCATGTCCTCTGACATTAAGTGTATATGCAATATCGTGCAAGTATTTTAGTAATTGTGTCACCGCCGAAAAACCAGAATCAAAACCATGTTAAGCTTGTGAGAAAATATTCACTTAAGGCAAGTACTAAGAATATATTTATTGATGCGCCACGCCGCAGTGGTCTAGTGGCTAAGGTACTCGGGTAGTGACCCACAAGACGCGGGAATTGAATCCAGGCTGCGGCGGCTGCATTCTCGATAGAGGCGAAAATGCTGTAGGCTCATGTGTTCAGATTTGGGTGCTCGTTAAAGAACTCCAGGTGGACGGAATTTCCGGAGCCCTCCACTACGGCGTCTTTCACAATCATATGGTGGTTTTGGGACGTGAAACTCCACGTATCAAACAATATTTACAGATGTGTTGCAGTAGTTCATGGGGGCTGATCAACATTGAAATCGGCATATAATTGCAGAACACCTGTTTATCGCCATCCTTATGTATGGGAACGACTTCGGCGCACTTACATAGCAATGGGAGAGTAGATCAACTATGAGACATTGAAAAAACGAGTAATAAATACCGATCATTCCGTTCAGAATAACATTTCAAAACCATTTTAGGTAAACCATCTAGCGCTACACTTTTCGGTGTATCAATTTTGAGAACAAGGTTACGAACGCCTGCAGAAGTGATTTGCCTGTTCGGGAAACGTGTTGGCGATGAGTTAGTAAAAAATTTGGGGCTGCGTGGATCATCAAGTGTGAACACTGAGGTAAAATAGTCAATAAATGCTTCAGATTTGCTCAGGTTATGAAACCAAGGTTTTTCGGATATTATAAATGAAGTGCAGCTCTGACTTCGGGGACCAATGGCTCAGCGCTGGATTAATTCCAGTGCTTGGTGTGCTAGCACGCACAGTCCAGCGTTGCATGTTGCGTTTTTCGTGTGAATCGGTGTGGCGGAATTCATAAGAGCAGGAAGTGGCGTTAGACTTAAGCACGTGTTGAACAAGTAGCGGCGATATTGATAAGATGCTGCATCACACCATATATTTGTACCACTGACTTCAAGCACCTGAACGAAACTCGCTCTCCATTACTCCACTCCAACACTGTACTTTGTTGTGAAGAAGCTGCAAGTCGTACTACTTTACCATGGTGGTATCAAGACGACATTAGTTTTCAACTTCCTCTTTCGTCAGAGAGCCACATACAGTTTCATGACGTATATGCATATACAAGAACCACTCTCGACGGCTTTGAGTGTTTTCTTAGAAAAATTCTGGCTCCACAGTCTATTGAAATACAGAAGTTCTAGGAATACTCCGCTCTCTGTATCGTAGAACATTTTCATTATATGACATTGCTGCTTCACTTGTGGCTGCTCCTCTTAGTTAATTTTATTAACAGGCTCACCTGTGTAGATGTTCATTAAAGCAGGCAGGCAAAGAACTTTATTTGACCCGGAGACGATGCTCACTCCCCTTTAGGGGGCGACATCAGCGGGCCGCATCCACGACGGGGCGGGGAGATGCATCTCTTCGGCTATGTCGCGGGCTTTCTGTACAGCCCGTAGCTGGTCTTGCTTCTCGTTGCTTGTGAGAACAGATTGCCAGTCCTCCTCCGTTGAAGCAGACCCGGAGCTCTCGCGCAGGGCAGGACATTACGGCAGCATGGGTGGCAAAGAGCGATGCGGGATATCACAGCGAGGGTAGCCTGGCTTTATAGCGTCCATATATTAGAGCACTTCAGGGTAGAAAAGTATGCCTCAGTCTGCAGTTGACGTAACGTGATAGACTTGGCTCTGTTTAAATTTGGATGCGGAGGGGAACCTCCCCTGTTCCTGTTAATAATGTTTACAAATTTCTTGAAAAGTAAGGAGCGAATCTTGGTAATACCAAAGCGTGTCCTCTACCTCCGAGTGGTTAATCCCGGCATGGAATGTTGGACCTCGTGCCCGGGAGTGCACCAACTCACTGGCAGTACGATTATTTAATGAATGTGTCGGCCAACATGTGCGGGGAACCAGATAATGTGCTTTTTGTCTGTAAAACTAGCAGCAGAGAGAACTCGAGCAGCTTCATGGCATACCGAACCCGACATGAAGACTCGGGTGGTTGCTCCCAAGTATTTACGTATTCCATCTCGAGAAGCTTCTTGCGGTTCACGACAGCTTACTTCATCACTCTATCGCTCAAGAATGATGAACTAACATGCCGAGCAAGGACAGTTTTGTCGTTCACGTTGAACTTAATAACTCGTGAAGGCGACATGTAAGGAGGCCCGGTCAATGAAAAACTTAACCTGCATGTTCGCCTTCGGAAGCCCGAAAGTTGTTGATTGATTGATATGTGGGGTTTAACGTCCCAAAACCACCATATGATTATGAAAGACGCCGTAGTGGAGGACTCCGGAAATTTCGACCACCTTGGGTTCTTTAAAGTGCACCCAAATCTGAGCACACGGGCCTGCAACATTTCCGCCTCCATGGGAAACGCAGCCGCCGCAGCCGGGATTCTAACCCGCGACCTGCGGGTCAGCAGCCGAGTACCTTAGCCACTAGACCACCACGGCGGGGCAGCCCGAAAATTGTAGTGGTCGTAGGTTAATCAGAGAGTGGACTCACATACCTTGGGAATTAAGTGTTCTCCGTTATTCAATCCTACTCTGAAGCTTCTCAATTCCCCCACTTCAATACTCTTCTTTTACGAACGGGCCCTTTTCAACGTAGGCTCCTTGCGATGTCCACGAGCACTATTGTTGTGATCAGTTCTATAGTACTAGAAAGCAATGCAGCTGTAGCATGCCTAAAAAGGTTTGTGTTCTACGATTTTACCGTGTAGTTTGCACGTTTTTGCAGATGGTTGTTACAGCAAATGAGTGTGCCAAGGATATGATACGAAACTTTGCTGAAGCCGCAAGAAAAGGAACACCTTGTGACGTAAAGTTGTAAGTGCACGTCTTTTTTTGTGAAATTCCAACTGCGTGGTGAGGACACTATGAAGGCAAATTTCTTAAACAAACAAGCGCTAACAACTGGGCTAACTGAAGGATCAAGCGGCCTTTATAACGATCCCAGCCTATACGAAGTGCCCCCTGGAGGCAAACAACAGCCACTAAAAGCCAATCATGTTAATTTTAGTCCTCAATGAACTAGAACGATGTTTCGCACAAGGACACACAAAAACATGGAGATATCAATGCGATAACGCTGAGCTCGCTTTGCAGGAATTTCGGCATGGTATTATCTTATGCGTGACAGAAAAATTGAGAACGAGGCAAACAAAACCAATAAATAATAAAAAAAACCTGGAGCAAAGTGGGGGCCTAACAAGGGTTGTGTGGGTCAGAGTGGCAAGCGGGTGTTGTATCACGAAAGCCCGCCAATGCTTGTTAAAACAGTGAACACAGCTTCCTCTGCCTAAAAATGGAATGAGAGCAGCTTTCATGCTTCACAAACACACGCGTTATGTTTATATGCCTCACAATGCAACATGAACTATTGCAGTTGACATGTCGCGTTAGAAGACGACACAACGAAGTGCATGCGCAACTGAACTGGTGTTGTACCACGAGCGCGAGTCATGTGTCAAAAGATGACCAGGAGTGATTCCAACGCCTGATCTACGCTTCTCATTTTGTTTACGTACATGTGACTTTAATAAACCGCCTACAGCCACAAAGGGTGTTACAGACGTAACAGTTAGCCACGAGGAAGACTGAACTCATTGGTACTCCACCGGCATCAAGAAAACGGCGTAGGGACACTTTAATTCAGCCGGCTACCCGAAATGAGCGGCAGGTCGGGCTGCTGGAGACTCTGGTATCGGAAACTACAGTTCTTCGAGGCTAAAAAAATTTTGAATCATCAAAAAAACTTGCCCATCTCCTAACGCTGTGCGGGGAGCAGACATATGCTACGGTCTGCGCACCCGTTCAACCCAAACAACACAACTAAGTGAGCTATAAACTGATTGATTGATTGATTAATATAAAGATTTAGTCAATATTCTCAATAATCACTTCGAATCTACAATCATTTGAACTCTTCTGCAGGGCAAAATTTTAGTGACGTGGCCAATAGAACGACAAAACGGTCAGTGATTACGTCATGGCACTCAAGAAGCTAACAGCAGACTCCAATTTCGGGATAAGTGCAGACACTGCGGCATATCCGACAATGCTGTCTATGGACGTCATGCTGCATGACTGAGTCGTTTGCTGTCTTCGGAATGAGCAGGTACAGCAACGGCTGTTTGCAGAAAGGGCCTGACATTCAAGAAAGCTTTCGACCTCTCACTTTGAGCTCAACACGCCACCGAAGACCATCATAACGTGAAAACCGAATTTCAGGAGATTCACGAATCCTGCACAAGTATCTGCAAGATAGACAGGCAAGGTCACTCGAGTACCTCTGCCCAAAAGAAGAATAAAGGCTGTTTTACGAGCTCAACAACCTAATCGACGCGTCCAGCACGGAGACGGTTATCAAGGAAAACGATGCAACAGTGCGGTGAATAGCATTCAACGCAGAAGAGCTGACCCAAAGCTACTATTCCTACCTGGGATTGTCCCCAGACACCATGGAATAAGGTGCACGTTGACTTCGTGGGGCCACTACTCAGGTGCACCTACATGGTTATGAATGCACTACACAGAGTGGATGGAAGTCCAGTACGTGGCTCAAGCAACATCCTCGGCTGTTACCGGCGTGCTCTGAAGCCTCTAGGCAGCGTTCGGCATTCCCCGAGAGGTCTTCTTCGACAACGGAAACGCATTTATCTCTAACGAGATGAAGCAGTTTTATGCGTCAAACGGCATACAGGCTGCAACCACACCAGCGTACCACCCTGCAATAAACGGTCAGGCAGAACGCTAGGTGCTGGAGCTGAGAAGAGCAGTGCTGAAAGGTGCAGCCAAGTCCTTACATTGCTGACCTGCAAAATTACTGTATTGGCAACACACGGCGATACACAGTGCCACAGATATGACAGCTGCGAGAGCGATGTTCGGACGAGAATCACTGAGCCCTCTAAATCTTCTCGAGCAGGAAGTGGATAAGCAAATTTCTGAGGGCCAGGAGGCATTGTGGAAATAACGCCGCTTCGCTATAAGAGATAGTGCTTATCCGACAGTTTTTGAAAAATCCAGATACGTATCTTGATTTCGGGAGGGGCATCTCCTGAAAATTGCTATTTTTTGCTTTCTATTCTATGGGAAGAATTTGGTGGGGGGGGGGGGGGCATGTGCATGGTGTTTCACCACCTGGCTCTGCTCTTGGCCAGTGGGTGTCACAATATGTGATTACTAAAATGGCTCCGTGGTTGAAAGCCGATACCCCACTACAGAAGGCACACGTGCTACTGAGTTATTCCCTTAAGGTCACGTAAAGGGTACATAGTAAATTTGAAAGTTTTATGCACTAAGTTTTTCAAATTAAGCACTACAATTAGGATGTCGCTATTGCTTTAAACTTCTAAACGCGAAGCATAAGGGTCCCATAATTTTTTTCTTTCAAAGGATGATCCTATGTGCGCTTCCAAAAAAGATACTTCTTTTGCCAATAAACTTATAATGCATAAAACAAGCTATCTCAAAGCTTTACTTTACGAAGGTTTTGCTGAAATATGTACGAGTACTTATTTTCACAAATACGTGACGTACATATAATAACAGGGAACTCGGCGACCACTACAACAAGGTAAGAGGTGGTGCGGAAGGTTGAACAGAATGGAACGAAAAAAAGTTCTTTGACAGCGGACATTTTTCCGAAAGGAAATTTTGCATGAAATCATGCAGTCGAAGAGGTTTCGACCCCTTCCCACGCATAGCCATGCGTGGCTGAGCCGTGTTCTGGGAAAAGAGATCCTGGGTATTGAGCCGATGCTTGGTCTATGTAACACTAACGGGTGTATGTAACTGCCGCCCAACTGGTATATGCTGACCTGTTGAGGTGTCATCTAATTGATAGTTACGGGCAGCACTTTTCACTTCTTTTCCTTTTCGTGATCACTTGGAGAGGTACATGCCCGGTGATTCTTCAAAATAGCTTACGTTCACTGTACTGGTACCTGATCGGTTTAACGTACGATCTGATGCGTTGATCACAACTTGTTTTCGCAAGCAGCTGTAGTCATTGTCATTCTTCTTTACGAACAGCTTTCTGCGTTTCAGAGTACCAATTGATGATTTATATGCAGGGTTTAATGTCCTAAAACCACCATATGGTTATGAGAGACGCCTTAGTGGAGGGCTCGGGAAATTTCGACCACCTGGGGTTTTTAACGTGCACCCAAATCTCAGCACACTAGCCTACAACATTTCCGCCTCCTTCGGAAATGCAGCCACCACAGCCGGGATTAGATCCCGCGACCGGTGGGTCAGCAGCCGAGTACCTTAGTCACTAGACCACCACGGCGGGGCGATTCAGAGTACTAAGTCCTCTGAATCGATACACACATTTCCCAAACACAGGCTTGGTTTTCTTGTATAAATTCTGTCTTCTATGGGTCGTCTATATGCTCTTCTCTGGCAGAGCACCAAATATTCTACATCGTTCAAAACGTTTTCTAAACACACAAACATTGGCCTTGTAAGCACTATAACAATGCTGTTTAACGGAAGAATGCCACCAGCATCACAGAGGCCTCTATCTCGCACTCCAGAAAGGACGCTTAATATTGTGTAATTACCTTGATGAGCCGCTGGAAACATGGCTAAGAGGGTTCTTTCTATGATGGCGCACACTATCCTTCAGAAGAAAGAGTCAGGTGGAGTTTCCAGGGACTCCGTACTAACCAAGTGTCCACTACAATACGCATGGATGCGTGACATCAACTGGAATGTTAACAATTTGATCCACTTTATTTTTTCCTTAACATTTGGTTACACAAAAATATATTTGTGTTTGAGTGCTCATTTTTAAGAATTATTCATTTTACTGAATTTTTATTTTGGGGCAATACAATCGTATTGCCCATGGTCAAACCAAAAAGAGGGAGTCTGCTGACGAAGTCAGCCACCTCGTACACACTAATTTTATTTTTTGCTTTGTTTCATTTATCAGCTTGTGGCTGACTTGCAGGCTTCAATTTTACGCCTCTGCCTGCGACGCCTGATAGCCCTCCAAGTGGTAAATTTCAAGTTTATTTTCAGGTTGGTCGAACCATGCGCGTTACACGTGAGTGATGTTTGGGTCTGACTAACGTACTCACAATGCAGACACGCGGATTTCTTTAAATAAGAACATTTAATCAAGACAAGGTTACGAACAGGTGCTAACAAGAATGATTGAAAATAACAGCTACAAAACACTTTCCTCTCAACGAACACTACAGGTACAAGTATGCACAATGCGGCAAATTCCTAAAATAACCTCATAATCGAAATCAAAAATACATACAAAAAATTATAAAAAAGTCTTGCTCGCGCTTCTGAATTACTACGTGCAATACAGCGCGCATTAAAACAGTCTTATGAAAGGTAGGGATAATCAAAAACGGTTGAGAAATCGTGGACCAAAAAGTTAGATACAAAGCGGTCCAGCTCGTGGTTCATGTAGGGAAGTCGTTGGGGTGTCGCCAATTGTCTCACCAGCTTAGGCAGACGATGAGGGTCCCTGGTGTTGCAGCAGTCTCTATACGTTGCGCGGAACACTCCATGCTCGACGCCAACGCGAGATTCGCGACACCAACGATCACGCTTATTGCTAGTTGAACGTCAAATAAATTTCTTCGGCACGTACGCATCCCCTTTGGTCATTTTCCCTGAACACATTCGTGCTCCTTTTTTGTGCAGGAAAGACACGCTCGCGCAGTTCTCGAGTAGGTGATCACCGGAAGTTTCTCCCCGACAACAGCACCCCTCTCTTCATTGAAGCGCCCCGCTGTGGTTGTCGAGTGGCTAATGTACTCGACTGCTGACCCGCAGATCGCGGGTGTTGAGAAAAA